GGCAACCCGCGGCCGCATTTACCGCGCCCGCGCCGGCTATCGGAGTGGGTGGGCAATTTTTGGGCACGTTCACGTTAGGGGAAAGGGAAATCTTTTTCCAAGCCCTCTCTTTTTGCCTTTTTCTTCTCTATATCATTTCCCAATCCGCGACACCGGAATCTTTTATTTTGTGTTTGGGGAAGCAGATTACAACATAGAATTTCAGCATCGAAATCACAAACCTGCCAGAGATGTCCGGCGAGCAACAACAGAGCATGCGCGTGGTGGCTTTCCGCGGCCCTTACAAGGTCGCGGTGGAGGAACGGCCGGTACCCCGGATACAGGACGCGGGGGATGTGGTGGTTAAAGTGAAGTATACGGCGCTTTGTGGGAGGTGAGTTTCTTTTTTTCTTTCTTTCGTGTTTTCGTGGGCTGGAGGCTGGAGTTTGGTCGGAGGGGAAGGGTATTGTTGATTATGGGGTTAGGCGCGGGGTATAGCTTCATGGATTGGGGTTGTTGTGAGAGGATCTCGAGCCTTTACTGATGAGTGCTCTCCTTTAGTGATCTTCATGTGTACCGGGGAATTGAGCCGAGTGGGGAAGGGGTTGTGATGGGACATGAGGTTACCGGAGTGGTTGTTGAGGTTGGGGATGAGGTTCGCTCGGTCAAGAAGGGAGATTCGGTTGTGAGCGCTTTTACCACGTCTTGGTGAGTGATCCTCTTCCATTGGGTGCTGCTAGTGTTGTTCTGGTAGTAGTGGTGGTGGTGATTTACTGGGGCCGAGTTGCAGAATGTATTTGAGAGGAGGACGGATGAGTTGGTCTCAAGGAGTGGCTATGGAGCGGGGAACTCGATCTTTATGCTGATTTATGGGTTGGTCAGCGGCAAATGCTGGTACTGCACTCAGGGACACTCTTCGCGATGTGAGCAGAATGTCCTGCTGGGATGCGATAACCTCGACGGCGCTCAGGCTGAATATGTGAGTAGATTCTACAGATCTGAGGGCAGAGGGTCAGTTCATCCCCAGAGATGACGAGACTGAACTTGTCGGAACAGATCAGAATTCCCAATGCGGATGGCACAGTGGTCAAGGCCCCCGAAGGTGTTGACGACAAGCTTCTGGTGCTTATGGCCGATATTTTCCCTACGGGTTACTTTGCGGCGCGCAATGCGTTCAAGGCATCCACCCCAGAGCAAATTGCAGAGCAGACGGTCGTCCTCATCGGCTGCGGGCCAGTCGGACTTTGTGCTCTGATCAATGCGCTCGAGTACAAGCCTAAGCATCTACTGGCGGTGGACTCGATTCCCGCGCGACTTGAATTAGCAAAGTCGCTCGGAGCCGAGCCCTGGAATTTCCAGACCGACCGGGACGGTCTGGACAAGCGCGTCCAAGAGTTGACGGATGGGCGCGGCGCAGACGCGGTCATCGAGGTCGTGGGCTTGAGTCCGGCATTGAGGACCGGATTCGATCTGCTGCGGCCGTTTGGTACCATCAGCAGCGTTGGCGTGCACAATGGCGAGGTAAGTTTCCCGGTGGTCTTTGTCCTGCCGGTAAAAGCTGACTGGCATCTGTGTGTAGATTCCATGGACTGGTAGTGAGGCTTACGGCAAGAACCTGACGGTCCACATGGGACGATGCCCTGTGCGTTCGGTTTCCGAGCAAGCCCTGCAAGTTTTGAAGAAGAACCAGCATCTTCTTGGGTACGTGTTGCATCGTTTGTCCATTCCCTGACCTTGCAGCGGTTTGGCTGACTAGTATATCTAGGTTTATGGCGGACAAGATCATGCCCCTTTCACAGGCCGTTGAGGCCTATGAGCTCTTCAATGCGATGAAGGTACAGAAGGTCATCTTTGAGGTCGAAAAGTAGGCTATCTGCATCGCATTCAATGCACGGAAGATCTGCTGTCAAGAGCTCTCAGACAATCCCTTAGAAAGCCGAAGCGATTGACTGTGCGCGAGGGGGAGATGTAGTCGTAGTAATCACAGTCCCGAGAGTAGTACAAGTGAAAACGAAAACAAGCAGTGGCACCACCACCACCACCACCATCGCCACCATCGAGTCGTCTGAGAGACATTTGCAACTCAGCAATTAGGACGTGAGGAGAAACAAAAAGACACCTGAAAGTGAGGGAAGATTGACGAGTGAGGAGGAGGAGAGGAAAGGGAAAGGGAAGGGGAGAATGTGGAGGAAGCGGAGGAGGAGTGATAATGTGAAGTGAAGTAAGTGAAGTAAGTGAAGCGGGTAGGTGCTAGTTAAAAAGTCACTTTGCCAGTTAGCCAGCCAGCCAGCGCCGCCTGCCTACCCGCTTTGTGAACATTATTCTCTCTCCAAGCTCTTTGTTTCCTCCTCCTGCCTTTCTGCGCCTCTCTGTCCGTCTGTTTGCTGCTCCCACCTTCTCTTCCTAACTCCCTCCCTCCCTCTTCCTCTTCCTCTTCCTCTTCCTCTTCCTCTTCCTCTTCCTCCTCCTCCTTCTTCCTCTTCTCTTCCTCTTCCACCTTTCCTCTATTCTCGCTACCACCACTTCTTCTCCTCCTCTTCTTTTCCGTATCCCCTCCCTCCCGCCTCTTCTCCCTCCCCTCTCTCTCTCCATCTCCTTCTTCTCTCTCTCCCCTGATTCTCCTATCCCTCCCTTCTTCCTCCTTCCCGCTACCTCTCTTTGTTCTTTCGCCCTCCTCCATCCCCCTCCCGTTTCACCCATCCTCCACCTTTTCCCCCGCCCGCCGAAAACCCCTCAGGATCGATCTCGTCACCCCTCTTCACCAAACACCCCCCCCTTCCTTCGATTTCTCTTCTTCGGATTATATCCGCTTTATCGCCCGCCTTCATCTTCGTTGATTTTCCAGGTAAGACCCTCGACCGCCTTCGACCCATCGGGCGCAAGGTCGGGTTTTCCTCGCCCGTCACTTCGCTACCTAGTCAGATCGTTACAAAAACCACGGTCATCCCTACGCTTCTCCTTGGGCAATGTGAAGCTGACTCTATAGGTGAAGTTCTTCTTTCGAGAGCTTATATCCTTCGATCATCACCTTTTCCTCGATTTCTTACTCGACCTTCTACTTTCCTGACATCATGGACGCCTCCGACTTGCACGAGAACCCCATGGTTGATGAGAACATGGCTGACGCCGTTGACATGATGGATGAGGGTGACATTGAAATCATCCCCAAGACCGAAGAGGAATACGCCCAGTCCACGCTGACTCTCCGCGCCATCGTCTCCTCCAAAGAAGCCGGTATCATCATCGGTAAAGCCGGCAAGAATGTTGCTGACCTGCGTGACGAAACCGGTGTGAAGGCTGGTGTGAGCAAGGTTGTTCCTGGAGTTCACGATCGCGTCTTGACCGTCACTGGTCCCCTGCACGGCACTGCTCGGGCCTATGCTTTGGTTGCCAAGGGTCTGCTTGAGGGCGCTCCGCAGATGGGCATGGGAGGCGTCGTGTCCAACAATGGCACCCACCGTAAGTGAACCCGCGCACTTGAGTTTATCGTTTGGTCTATCAAATGGCTAAAATATCCTTAGCCGTCCGTCTCTTGATCTCCCACAACCAGATGGGTACCATCATTGGACGCCAAGGTCTCAAGATCAAGCACATCCAGGACGCGTCCGGCGTGCGCATGGTTGCGCAGAAGGAAATGCTGCCTCAGTCCACTGAGCGCATCGTTGAGGTCCAGGGCACCCCCGAGGGCATCGAGAAGGCTATTTGGGAAATTGGAAAGTGCCTCATCGACGATTGGCAACGCGGAACCGGCACTATTTTGTACAATCCTGCTGTTCGCTCCTCGGTCGGCGGTACTAGCAGCTCTGCCAGCAACCAGAACACTGGCAATGGTTACAGCAGCCGCCCCTACAACCGCACCGGCAACGGTGCCGACTTCAGCGACCAGTCCGGCAGCTACAGCAGAAGATCCAACCCCGATACCAGCAACCGCGGCTACCCTCTCGTCACCGAAGACGGCGAGGAGATTCAAACCCAGAACATCAGCATCCCCGCCGACATGGTTGGATGCATCATTGGCAGGGGCGGAAGCAAGATCACTGAGATCCGTAGAAGCTCTGGAGCTCGGATCTCTATTGCCAAGGCTCCTCACGATGAGACGGGCGAGCGCATGTTCACCATCATGGGCAGCGCCCAGGCCAACGAGAAGGCTCTCTATCTTTTGTACGAGAACCTCGAGGCCGAGAAGACTCGCCGCAGCCAGCTTCCTCAGGAGTAAAGTCCTATCATCAGACAACCCTTGAGCACAAATCTCGCGCCACATTGCTACCCCCGAATCCTTATGCGCTTCCTCCCAGAGAACATAATCGCGCGATGTCTCCCTCTCGCTTGTGCTAACCACTTTGATTCTTGACGCTGTCTTTTTTTTTCTCTCTCATATGGTCCTATTTGTTTTACCTTATAATCTCATATGTGCAGCTTCCTTGGTTTTACAAGAAGCAAGAACGTTGCTAAGGTGGACCATGCATGCCTGTCAGATACCAGTATTATGTGATCCTCCATGATCGCTTTGACTCGAAGAAAGAAGAAATGAATCCGAAATCGGAAGAACTACTGCCGACGTTATGCCCCGCAGCTGATGTTTATGATAATTTCGTGCCTCTGTGCTTCTATTTGCTTCGTTGCCCTTTCCTCTGGGGGGGAACATCAGCATGTTTATCTAATCCCTTCCTCCTGTAACCATCAACATCCTTGCTGCTTTCCGCAAAAGTCATCCTTCCTCCCCCAACACCTCAACATAAAACCTACCAAACCTTAACCCCAAACTGTGATGTATCGTCCCTCTTCCCTCATTCGCCCGCTTGCTCCTGCTCACTTTATCTTACTTTGCAACTCTCTGTCTCTCTCTCTCCCTCTCTCTCTCTCTCTATCATACCCGAGCTTCCATACATCAAGCATTTGGCCACTTGACACCTCCAATGCCTTGTATGGTCATTCCTTCCTGCACCCTATGCTGGGAATTCCCCTTCTGCGCGGCTCAATGGAATCGTCCCCAAATCTGTATACCAGGACTTTGAAGGCTCAAATTTTTTGATGGGAAACAGAACAATATGAATCCCCCAATCTTCTCATCCATTGTGTGGATCCACCTTGAATCTCGTATACCATTATAGTAGAAGTCAATAGCCTGCATTCACCATCGCTTTATTGATGGGCTGTGAGTTTGTGTGGTTGATAGATAAATATCCAAGGAAGGTCATTTCAATAGTCATACAAGTGAATAACTACTAGCTAACTTACAGTACAGGACGATAAATGATCAGCTCGCTCAGCAACCGCCGATAGGCATATATACAACAACTCGTAGTAGAGGTGCTAAGATATCATTCCCGATCAAGGTGTCCACACAACTAATAGGAGCATTTCTCAGACAATCTGAGCAAGTCAACAGTGCAAAAGCCAAGCATGAGATGAACATCCTCATCATCATCACTTCATTGTTAGTCAAGTTACAGAGTAATCCGTATTAACCCCTAGCATTATGGACAAGATCTTTTAAAATTTTGTACATGCCCCTAAAAACAACAACATGCTTGGGCCCTGGGGGGAATTTGGATACATACAGTACTGTACATTGTATCATGGGATCTGTGATATTGATTGGACGGGGCTGTGAGTGACAGGGGACACAGCATATTGGAATAGGTAAGACTGTAGGAACAAAGAGATGGGGTTCAACGAATGGAAGAAGGGAATCTGATATGGACGAAAGAAGAAAGGAGAGTGCTGGGCTTGAGATCTCAAGTCCTTTGGTGGGCTGGACCATGGCCAATCCCGGAGGCCGGAAGCGGAGATCTCCGAACTCCCTCCAGGCTCGTCTATGTATGTGCAGTATTGGCCGAGATCATGCAAAGAAATGGACGGCAAGAAGAGAATGAGAAAGAAAGAAAGAAAGAAACGAGGGAGCATATAGAGGAAATCGCTCAGACTGATACAAGTAAATTCGTATAATGCATAGTAGATCTCATCGTGCCACGCAAGGCATATTTGCAATCGGAAAGTTTGCCGGAGATGATCGATCGAGTCAGTGGGAGTAAGGGCATCGGAAGAAGTCTCTCGTTACATGTGCAAATGCCGGTGGGTAGTACTTCGTACAGACGTCTCCAAGAATGCTGCATGGCGATCCCAGGAGAGTCAAAATAAAAATCATAAGAGAAACGCCGGCTGAACTGAAATCAATCCATGTACCAAGAATGAGGCGCTGCGTGATATGGTGTAGGTGTATGAGGGGTGTGGATGCGTGAACGACGTTGGCTTCTTTAGATGAGAGGTAGGGAAGAAGCAAAAAGAGCCGTGGATGGATTTAATCAATTCGGTCATCGAACGTGTTAATAGCGTCATCTGACACAGCAAGTGACCGCGGTCGAAGCCCGAATTTCTGCGCGCCTAGACTGTTGGTTCGAATTCGGTTTTGGCTGATCGGAGTGTAACTCGTAGCTAATTTGCTCGAGGGTGCAATGATTCGAGTCTGGGAAGCTTCTGGTCGTGGAGATAAGACGCTCTCCTCAACGGATCCATCGCTCGTGTTAGTGGCAGAGCTCAGCCCAGATGCCGCACCGTACCGACGATAACCCGCTTGGATGTTCGAGCGCGCAGTGGCAGGGGTGTAACTTGGAGTCATCAAAGTCCGGCGCAGAGGAATCGCGGACTGTGAGAGGGTGGGCGTCCGAGGCTGAGGCAGTTGCGACGGTTGAGGTTGAAGCGAGAATCTAGGGTTGCGATCCGGCGTTGCAATAGCCTTGGACTGGGACGCAGTATATCCATGAGACATGCGCTGGCGTGGCGATACGCGATAGTTGTTTGCTGCGCTGCTAAGGTCGGCGATACTTCTTGTGGGCGAGCGGACCTGCGGGGTCTGTTCAACAAGGGCCTCATCATCAGTCCGGTGTCGCTTGGTCCGTAATGAAGTCGAGAGTCGACTCAACCGAGTGGGCGCCGGTGAACTGGGTGAGTGGGTCACTTTCGCTTCTGAGACTGGTTCGTTGTTCTGGTCGCCGTGCTGGGACTCCGGGGAAGGAATGGCAGTTGCGACGCTTGATCGACGGGCCTCTAAACGGCTACCTACACGTTTGGTGCTCTGTCGTCGCACTAGCCCCCCATCGGAATCAAGAGTCGTGCTTCGACGAAAAGGCAGCGTCGGGGTCAACGTGTCGTCGTCGTGCGCATGTCTTTCCTCCTCCTCAGCTCTACCATTGACGACTAAGGCCGATTGTCTCCGGTGTTGCTCGTCCGATAAAGCAAGGCACAGCTCGGTTAAACTGCGGCAAACGCTGTCTGCTTTCCGTCTTGCCTGCCTATCAGATGTGCTATACCCATTGACCACGGATCCGGTACCAGATGGGGCCTTGTTGGATCCAAGCAGAGTCGAGAGCGCTAGCGCGTCGGTAGCGGTCACCTCCAAAGCGGCGTAGACTTCATTGCTGAGCACGTCCTTCGCATTGACCAAAGCCGACTGTAGTAGCGGATGGACAGGGCTAGGGCCCTCTGCCTCACCCGAGAAAGTGCTTGTCTTGTGGGAACGCCTGGGTGAAGACGACACCGTAGTCATAGTCGTTGTGGCTGTTGGTGGCCGTTCCCCAGAAGCGGAGGAGATCGCTTCCTGGGACGAGGGCGGCAGCTTCCCGGTCAATTCTAGCTTCTTGATTCGGGATTTGAGATCTTCGAGCTCATCCCAGACCGTGGAAGGCGCAGTTGTAGACAAGGTGGATTCCGTCCCATCTTGACGGGACCGCTCGGACTCATATCGAGCGCGTTCGGTCACATCCGAGCTGGATGGTTGTCGGCTGCCTCGAATAGACGAAAGGGTCGATTGGCGATAGGCTCGGGACTCGTGCAGCGAGCCGCGTCTCTCAGGGTAGGACTCGGGGCTGTAGGATAAGGGTTCGGGACTGGACCGGCCCAGTCGACTTCGTGGTAGACCAATTGCAGACCTGGAACTGGGGACATAGGCCGAGCTGGACGGGCGGCTATGTTCATCCAGTGGATGG